GCTCTCCTCCTCTGGAGCTCAGCTCTCCCTAGTGTGGTGAGGGGTCGGAGTCAGACCATCTCTCAGGTAACTTCCTGAGACTCATCCATCTAAAAATGTCCACGGAGCACCTGTCACATGATAGGTGGAGCTGTCCTGGGCCCTTGGGTACAGCAATGACCACAACCAAAATCCTGGCCTTAGGGGGCTGGAGATCTGGGAAGGTGGAGGGAGACGGGGCACGCTGCCATCTTTCTTTGTGGGTAACTCATTCAGTTAGAATTGGGATGTGCCAGGGACAAATGAAGAGGTGTTTCAGCAGGTTAAGAGAGAGGAAGTGTCAGTGAGGGGGACAGGCTGAGCCCCACCTGGGTGTCAGGCTAAGTGGGACGGGAAGGTGACATTGGAGGTGAGGGACTCCTTACATTCTAGAGGTCTGTGAATCTCACTGACTCTCAGGACTGCTATAATCCAGAGTGAGTACCATCTGGGGTCCCCCGGAGCCCCCACATCTTCTCTCCCTCCACCTGTGTGCATGCGGATGCCTGGTGGCCCAGCGGGTGACAGGGTGGAAGACAGATCGGGCGAGTTCCCCAGAGTGGTGAGTGATTTACCACCGTCTTTACTCACACTCCCGTATTTCAGGCTCCCGTGGCTCTGATGGAATAAATATGACCTTTTATTCTTCACTTTGCTTAAGACTCAAGGTCAACAGCCCAGCTGTGATCTATGGGCTGCTTCCTCCATTGGGCGTCCTCTGGCGGGGAGCCCCATGGCTGTCAGAGATTCATGGTGCCATCCTCCAGCCCCGAACGCCCTCGGGAGCTCTGGGGGATGCTGGCGCCTGCGGGGCAAAGGCCAAACCATAAATCTCCTCCCTCTCTCCCAGGCCCGCCCCATCACTGGGGTGGACCACGACCCGATTCATCTCAGCCTGGGGGAAGGCGGTAACGGGGAGGGGCAGCCATGGTCCAAATGGCGCATTATAAATGAGAACTCTCAAGGGCATGGCCAAGCCAGGCATGGTGGCCCACACCTGTCATCCAGAGGCTCAGGAGGTGGAGGCAGGGGAATCGTTTGGAGTTCAAAGCCAGCCTCAGCAACTTCGAGAGACTCTGTCTCAAAATAAAATATTTTAAAAAGAGGCAGGGGTTGTAGCTCAGTAGTGAAGCGCCCCTGGGTTCATTAAAAAAAAAAAAAAAATCCAGAGGAATCAGATGGTTCCTCCAGGCTCTCTATGCACTCTGGACCTCCTGTTTCCAATCCAAGACTTTATCAGGCATCACCAGCACTGCCTGGATGTTCTTCCACTTGTCTAACTTAGAATCTTCCTGAAGCACCCACTTCTGTCATATGACAGCGCTGGCTTCATGAAAGAAGGTTCGATTCGTGAGTAATTGCTAGGGAGTTTTTAAATTAAAGAGACAAGACTCTTACTACCTTTAATACCAGCTCCGGGACGGCTTCTCCTAGCTCCCGCCTCCAGCCACCTAATGCGGTGGCGAGGTTTACAAAGAGACTAGAGAGAGAGAACACACCAGGGAGTGAGCTTTTATTGGGGAACAAAAAATTCAAGGGAAAATCCCATCCAATGAAGGTTAAAGGGGGCAGCATCCCAAGGTCAGGGGTGAGGACTGGTCTGCACAGATAAGCCCTCTGACCTGGGAAAGGGTGGGGAATAGCTCTGACACAGCTGTGTCTAAGCGCCTCTCACCCAGCCAGGGAGGCAACTCAAATCACGTGCAAGGATGGCCACCCACAACCCACCTGTCTCCGTATCTGTGGATGGATGGGGTGGGTTGGTCTGGTGCATGCATCACTTGTTTCCTCATGGTGACTCCGAGTGACAAAAGGCTGATGATTTGGAGGTTGTTAGTAGAGAAGGCGACAGTGTGAAAGGAAACGGAGTCGCTGGTTTCTAGTTTAAACACATCACCTGTGACCCCAAGACAACTTATTCCTCACCATCCTCTCATGATCTGGAAGGAAGAGGAGTGGCCAGGTACTCCTTAGAGCATGATAGGCCTGGATTCAAATTCTGAACCTGCCACTTCCTGGCTGGGCAGCTTGCTTTCCCACTCTGGTCCCAGAGAGTCCAACCAGTAAAGCAGGCGTAATAGCTACTCCCGGGGTGGTTGTGAAGGTGCTCGGAGAGTGGGAGGACCCAGCAGGCACTCAGATGGGTGCTGGAGGCTGCCGCCAAGGCCTGGAGCCAGCTGGCCTGGGTGTGAATCCCAGCTGAGACCTTGCAAAACTTCTTAACCAAATTGTGCCCCGGAAAATTGTGCTTTCTGCAAAGTGAAGTTGATCTCAGGGCCCTTCTTGGTTGGGATGTTGAACAAACTAAAGGAGCCCATCAGCGGCGGCTGCTAGGAAGTCCCCGGTGCTAACAGCTCTTGGGACAGCTGGCCGTTATCCTCATCATCACTGAGGAGAAACCACCCACGTTTACTTGGCACTTGTTGGTAAACTGATGTGACTTCATTTTTGAGAAACCAGCCTCTACCTCAGGGCAAAGCCTGTCCAAGGAAGGGGGCGTGATTCTTGTCCTTGGAAAGACCCACAGAGCACTCCTAGGCACATACCCACCCTGCTGAGGTGTTTATCTACAAAAAACAGGAGAGATCTGCAGCGCCAGGTGTCCCTGACTCAGTCAGGCTAGGTGAGGATCCATAGCAGCCCCCTAGCAGCCACCAATCAGCATGAGACAGGGAAATACCTGGGATGCCAGATGACCCTCCCAGTAGTTTATGGTGGTTGATAACGTGTTGGGAAACCATGTAGTTCAGCACGAACACCCCTCATGGCTTAAACCAATGGTTCAAACGAATCCCCCTCTTGTACTAACCAATACCCCTACCCAACTTGCTCCCACCAGTGAATGTGCTAATCATGTTTTAGAGTTGTTATTTGATTTTCCCGCGGTGTGTGATGATTTGCTAAGAGATGCTATGATGTATGTGAAGTCCCTGCCTTCCCCAAAGAGTGTATAAAACTGCTGCAAACCCTGGGCTCAGGGCCTCTCAGTGTCACCAGTTGCTGTGTGCGTGGAGGACCGAGCTAGCTCGCAATAAACACCTCTTTGCTGCTTACATCAATCTTGGTCTCTGGTGGTCTTTTGGGGGTCCCCATCTCGAGCATATTATTGTGATCTACTTTCCATCCCTCAGTCTCTGGATTTAATCCATGTACTTCCACTCAAAGATGCACAATCTAGAAACATGCAGAAGTGAGAAGAGTGCAACTTTTAATGTTTTATTGAAGATCAAAAGTCAACATCGGGCCTGAGCTAGAGGCCCTGGGTCCCCAGGACGGTTTGCTGTGACATCCGGACACTGACTTCCCCTATGCACCCCACCATGGAACTGCCACGGGTCCGGGCCACTTCATCTTGGAAACAGCCTAAGGAGGAGGGGTCAGGAGGGCCCAGAGCAATGCGAGGGGCGTGGTCTCATGGGCGTGGCCTCTCAAGGACCGCCCAGGACGGGGCGGGGCTGCCTGCGCCCGCTTAGCCCTGGCCAGGCTGCGGGCAGCGTCCACCCACGGCTGACCCCGGGTCTGCAGAGTCGTCACAGACCGGTCCACAATGGAGGTGAGGCCCCAGGAGACAGACCTCAGGCACACACAGCCCAGAGAGGAACACACTGGCGCCCCGACCCGCTGCACAGGGGTCCCTCCTCCTGAAACCCTTCCTTGACTCCCCGGGGCTGGGCCAGTCCCCAGCACCTGCTGTCACAGGCACAGCACTCCCCAGGGCCCTAACTCCTGAGGTGCCCGTGGCCGCGTTTCTATTTACTGTCTGTCTCCCTGGGGAACCCATCTGCTGGAGGGTGGGAAGGCCCTAAAGGCCCTGAGGGCCCTGTGTCCCCATGCTTAGGGCCCAGACCTGACTTCATAAGCCTAAAGGTAAAGGGAAGGGTGGAGGGCGGCAGGGGGAGAGGTTAATCTGAATCAGTCGGCACTGGGTGGACCAGGACAATCATGGACATATTATAGAAGAATTACTTTAATTATTTCTGCTGAGGACAGAGGTAGGATCTCAGGACAGGAGGCCAGGGGATGGATTTGGGGGCTATACTAAGGAGGGCTCAGAAGTCCTTGGCACTGAATAGGGGTGGGGCCTTGGGGGAAATGTGGGGTAGTTTTTGTCCCTGGAAGTTACTCCACATAGGCCCAGTCAGCATCCCCAGAGGGTAGCGGGGTGAGGGGTGACAGGTGGCAGAAGTGTGGGCAACTAGGACTCACACAGGGAGGGCTGGTCTGGGTGACCTTGAACTGGCCCTTTCTCATTGGGAATTTCTCAGCTTGTGAATGCAGCAAGAAGGAGGCCCATTTTAAAGACAGAAGACCTGAGTCCAGGATAGTTGGGATGAGCTGGCAGCCGGGCTGATCCAAGGACCTTGGCTTTATGGCTCCTCTTCCCAAACTGTCTATAGCTCTCTCAGTATGCCCACCCTGGGGAACTAGGCTTGAGGTCTCTTGTCACCTCTTCTGGCCTCTTCCCTCCTGCTGCTGCCAGAGTTTCCACTGTGTCCTCCAATAGAGTCAGCACCCCCTGTTGGCCCAACTCAGAGGAAGCCACCTCTGCGTCTCCCAGGTTTCTGTACATTTTACATGCAAAGAAATGCACCTCTAATGGTGGAATTTCAGTCCCTTTGATCCATGAAAAAGTCTATTTTGGACGGGCTCCTGTTCCTGGCCCACTCCAGGTAGGGTGTCGGGAAATAGGATTGAGCCTGAACAGGGACACTAGGGGTGGTGGACCCAGCCTGACCCAGTGGCCACAAGCCAGAGACATCCTGCAGCCCCCGCCCCGAGGAACAGACTAATAATTACTAGCCACGCCAACCTGTGAATTTTCAAAGCCCCCCCTTTCCACTCAGACCTGCTTCCCAGTGACACTCAAAGCCAGGGACAGAGAGCAGAGCAGCCCTGGGGAGCAGCCCAGCCCTGGGGAGCAGCCAGTGGCTCACACACGGTGGCATTTTGACAGGTGTTAAAAATATCTTTCTGGAGTTTAGTGCCAGCTGCCACCAAAGCATCTCAGCTTCCAGGATCCTGTCCTGTGCCCAGTCCTGTCCTCGGCAGCACCCCTGCCTGTCCTTCCACAGGGAAGCACAGAACCCCAAGTCCCTGGCCACCTTCTAACCTGCAACTGCCACCCTCATCCCGTGGCCAGATGCCGGCACCTGCGCACCTAGGAGCCACTAGAGAAGGTGACTTAGGATCAGAAGCGCCGCACACATGCCGAATGAGCTAATTAAACAAGAACACAAATAATGACTTCCCGTCAGGGTAAGAGGACGCGGGTAGTGAGGGACGGGGTGTGATGGCTGAGGAGCTGGGACAGTGGCCTCGTGGGACACTCTGTCCTGCTCAGGGAGGGCACAAATTCCTTTTCTCCACGAGGATGGTGAGCTGGGCCTCATCCAGGTCCCAGACCCAAGGATTCTGCCAGAAAAACCACTGCAACACGCTGCTGAGCTCATCCGGAAGGACACCCAGGTCCCGCTGCCCATCTTATAGATGTGGACATGGAGGAGCAGAAGGGTCTAGAGACACAGCTCTCAGCAGGTCCCCTAGCTCCATCCTTTGGCTACAATGTATTCTCCCTAAAGCAGCTAGAATTTTCTTTCTCAGTCACATGATGCCTATTTCCTGCTTTCAACCTCTCAATGGCTCTTACCTTTTGCAGGATACAATTCAAGGCCTTACCCATGTGGCCCATGTGGCTCTGTCTGCTGAAGCCCCGCCTGGACCTCACCTCACCCCCTGCCACTTCCCCCTCAGAGGCACCAAAGTCCTTACTGCCTGTGCAACAGTGTGAGTGCAACCGTGTGAGTGCAACCTGCCCCAGGGCCTTTGCACCAGCTGCCTCCCCTGCCTGGCCTATTCTCTCACTCCACTCAGGTCTCTACTCCAATGTCACTCCTCAGCAGGACTATCCCTGACCACCTGTATAAAATAGTAGCCCCAGCCTCTGTCTCCTGGTGCACATTTTTAATCCCATCTCTCTCTCCCCCATAAGAATGGTAGATCCTTGAAGGCAAGGACTTTGCCTATCTGAGTCTGGATTGGACTCTCAATACAGATTTGTTGATTGAATAAGTGAATATTGAAATCAATGAATATCAGTGCCCAATCCAGGGTTTTCCTAAGCACACGCCATTTATCCCCTCAGAACTAGGCCATGGCTCCTTGCTGCCAACATGAGCAAGCCCAAAGTCACATCTCCTCCCTGGGGCTGAGTTCTAGTCCACCAAATGACAAATAACGGGTCCCACCTCCCAGGAGAGTAGTGAGTACCAGGTACAAGAACACACAGGAAATGTGGCAGGAGCTCGGGAACACGGCAGCCGTGGGTGACAAGCAAGGCCTGCCGTCTGCCCTCTTCCAGCCTCCCTGCACAAACCTCCTGTTATCTCACCAGACCCAGGGTTCTCAAAGTGTTGGTCCCCAGACCAGCAGGACAGTGGCAGCCCCGCTGAGAGACCGTGTTCCAAATGCAGGTTTCCAGAGACCCCTCCAGGCTGGCTGGATCAGGGGCGGGTCCTGCGTTGTGTTGACAAGCCCGAGGGCTGATTCTGACACTTGGTGGGGTTTGAAAGCCAGACAGAGCCAGCCTGTCCACCCAGGACGTCAGGAGTGCTCTACTGAGTGATTGGCCCTGTTTCTTCACTTGCATGATATAACCATGGCCTCCTCCTGGCCTGGGGGTGGGGTGGGGAATGCCTGCCCTGCCCCTCGCCCTGAGTTCTGCCAGGGAACGTGCCTCGGCTAACATAGGATCTAGCAGATGTGACCCCAGCAGCCTGACACTTGCCCCTGCCACTGGCTTGCCCACAGGGACACACCCTGTTCTCCTCTCACCATGAGAAAAATATACGCAGATGACACCTGTCCTCCCCTGGGACTCCAGAACAAGCCACGGTGAGGAGATCCCCACCTGGAACTGAGAGCCACCGCGCGGCCCAGCCCGCAGAGACCAGTTCAACCCAAATCAACCTCAGAGCCACGGACAAGGAAGTCGAATGTTAGCAGCTGCAGCCACTAGATACTGAGATGGCTTTGCTGGGTGACATTCCCGCAGCCGCAGCAGCAGCAGCTGACCCACACACCTACCCTCGGGCCTCGTGGTCCCCCTCGGTCTCTTTCTTCACTGACTCCATCTGAAAAGCGACACCTTCCCTTCTTCTCCGAACCCCACCTGTACCGCAGGGTGCCGCTTCTACTCCTTAGAGTCTCAGAGGTCCCCCGATATGGCCCTGCAGGCCCAGGACAGGAGGTGCTTCAGCAAGCTCCTGAGAAAGCTCTAGAGGACAAATTTCTCCAGGCAGTGCATTTCCGGGCTGACCCTTGAAGAGGCGGATTACTCAGGGGAAAGGCTCTTTAAGGTACCATCACGAACTCCCGACCTGGTTAGAGGCTCCGGGTGTCATAGCTCTAGGTGACGCTGGGCTTCCTGACACCTGACTTCTTTACCGGGCACTAGGAGTTGGTCCAGATCAGAACCCACAGCCTCCACCCCGCCGCCTCAGAACAAGTGGGGAGCCACATGTGGAGCCCACGCCGGTTAGAAAGAACCCTTCTCTGAATAATCAGGGGGCCTCTTCATCCTGACGATGTGCCTCTGTGACCCGCCTTTGGCCTGGCTTGGCGCATCCCACAACGCTCTTGGGACTCCTCCCATTCGCTCCCCCATATCTGAAGATGATGGGCATCCCTTTGACGTCTGACCCCGAGCCCTCTGTCACCCACAGGGTGCCCACTCTCACCCCCATACACGTACCAGGCCGCAGAAAAGCCAACTCAGCATCCCAGAGAGGAGGCCCAGATCACCCGCCTCCCGAGCCCGGCCTCAGCTCCCCAGACCGGCTGCTGGTCTCAGGGAGTGTGTGGGCAGGTGGAGAGGGACATTAGTGACAGGGCCCTGTGCCACCTGCCACGCACCCTCCCTCTCCTCATTTCCCAGCACAAGACTGACTTTCACTGGAAGGAGGAGGCGTTCATGGGTCTGATCAGATGCTTCCCTCGCTCGGCCCCCACGGCAGACTGGGGGACTCGGAGCAGAGTCAGGGGGCGGGGCTTCCGGGGCATCACAGGGCTGACACATCCTGGAGACTGGGCCTTACTTTGAGTTCCCAGGAGGTGGACAAAATTGGGTAGCAGTAGTTTATTCGGGAGGTGGACTCAGAAGCCCTGGTGAAGGGATCAGAAGGGATCAACACAGGCGGTCTTTTAGGCAGGTTTCCACCATGGACCCCACAGGCCTAGAGCATGCCCCACGGCTGTCCTCTCTTCTCCCCGGAGCGTGAGGAAGCTGGGGATCCATCCCCTGTTGTCTCTGTAATAGGCAGGGGGCTGCACCTGGGGACCCCAGCTCTGTCATGGCCAGGCACTGCAGAGAAAGCCCCGGGCACAGGCCGGTGAGCCCTGCCTCTGTTCTCCGGGGCCAGGGAGCTCCCAGAGCATCCTGGGAACCCCCCCCCCCAGCTGCTTTTGCTTGGTGTTTATTCATTATCAACACAGGTCAGTTGTACAAATGAAGGGCTTCCGGGTGGCATTTCCATACCTGTGTATAGCAAGCTTAGAGCATGCACCCCTCCTATCTACTGTTTTCCCTGTTTCCTGACCCCTTTCCAGACCCTAATTGTCCCTCTTCTACTTTCAGCTCATTTTTTTTTTAAAGTTTCCATGTATGAGAGAAGACGTGATATTGGTCCACCGGTGTCTGGCTTATTCTGCTTGACGTGATGTCCTCCAGTGCCATCCGTTTTCATGCAAATGGCAGGATTTCATTCTTTATGGCTGGATGGAACCCCACTGTGCATATAGAACGTATTTTCTGTCTCCCTGCATCTGTGGATGGGCTCCAGGCTGATTCTATGACTGGCCATTGTGAACAGAGCCTCTACTGGAGCTGGCTTGAGTTCTTTCAGGTGTAACCCAGGAATGCCACACTGGAGCACCACAGTTCTAGTCATAGCTTTCAAGGAAGCTCCATGCCGTTGTCCTCCGTACTGGTCACACTAATTTCCATTGGATGTGGGCTTCTTCCACAGGATAGAAACAAACCCTGGGTCTGGATGAGCTGCTGTCAACAGATCTCTGCAGCTAGAAGTGCTTCCCACGCTTTGAAGATGTCCTCTTTCACGTCTGTCATCTCCTTCCAATTCTACAAGCATTTGGGGAGGTAGCAGGATGGTTGTTTTCATCCCCATTCCACAGGTGAGAAGCTTGAGGCTCAGACAAGGGAAGTCAGGGATTCCACATCCCTATCTTCAGAGAAGGAGCTCTTTTGAGAGTAAACAGGGAAAGACATGCAGAGAAATCAGTCACCTCTGAACTCTTGCCCTGAGGGTTTTTGAATCTGAGTGGTGTCACCTTCTTGAGCAGAGAGGGACCTGATGAAGGGCCAACGATAGGATTTAAGGCACTCTTAGAAGGCACCCTGGTACCTTCTCCCCTGTGCATGAGCCCGCAGTGGGTTTTGAAATTCCACCATTAGAGATTCACTCCTTTGGGTTTTACAGAGCTGCAAACTGAATTGCAAATACTTCTAAAAGGTGCACCTTAGACCTCGAGCCCTTACAACAGCTCTCTCTTCATATTCTTTTCCAGGTTTACAGCTCTCTAGGTTTTGAAAAATGGAGAGCCAAGAGGCATCCTGGCCAACAGAGACAAGAAGCACCCAAGCAGGGAAAGTAAAGGCTCCTCACCACAGTGAGCACTTACTGGTACCAGTGCGTCCCAGTTGACCGTGATTTCATTCCAGGACACCTCGTCCTGTGGAATAGACATAAAGGAGTCATCCCATTTACAGATGAAAAAAATGAAGACTGAGAGCAGAGAAGAGATTTGCGTACGGTCTCAGGACTCGTAAACCATGGCGCTGAGGTGCAAGCAAAGGTCATGGAGCCACGGAAGGGTTAGCTGTCTCCCTATCTTCTCTGGATTACTAAGGGTGCCTTGTGCAAAATTTCCCAGACTCCCTTGTAGATATGTGCACATGGGCACCACTGAAGTGTGAACAGAAGGAATTGGGTGGGGCTTCTGAAAAATCTCTCACTTTGTCCTCTTGCTTTTCTTTTTGTTCATTTTTCCTGCTGCATAAAAGAGCACTGTGATAGCTAGAGCTGCAGCAGCTCTTATGTGCTATGAGGAGACCTTAAAGACAGAAACTGTGTGCAGAGGAAGGCAGGGGAGAAAGATAGAAAGATCTGGGCACTCTCTTCCACTGAACTTCTCTTAACAGAGGGGCACGTAAACTACTGTGGATGTCAGCCAGGTGGGAGGGCCTTGTTGCCCTTCCTCTGGGGTCCTTCTTCTCACATCCAGGTTAAATTCACTTTCTGTTCACCCACTTTTTCTGTGAGATCTCCAGCAACTTTGCCACTTCTCAATGGCTCACCATTGAAATGAGGTATGGGATGCTGCTCTTCATCTTGTCCCTAATTCCTACCAGGTGGTCCCAGTGGCTGCTTCTCAGTGGAATCGAGGTTCTCACTGCCACCCGTGTCTCTGCTTTGTGCCAACATTGCTGGGATTTGGAAATGTGGGGAAGCGAGGAAGCTGACAGAGAAGGTCCCTGCAGACTCTGGCAGGATAAAGAGAGGTCCTAGTTATCCCCCCACCCACTTCATCTCCAGGCTCGATGAAGACTCCCAGTCATCGTGAGTGAGACGCCCTGCAGCGCGGAGCCTGGCACGGTGGGGAAGGCCCGGGTCTGGGAGACTGTATTCCTTATTCTTTGCTTTGCTAAACTCAGGGAATCTACTCAATTCACCTGAGACTTGTTTTTATCACCTGCGAAGAGGGCACAATATTCTTTGCCCCGCGCCTTCTTGTGGATGTCAGATTTCAATGGTGAGCGTGACAAAATCTGTAAACGTGGAATTCAGGGCAGGCTGATTTTGATCTGGGCTCTGCCTAAGGAGCTGCCTCTCCCCCATGCACCCCCATTTCCCGTGCCTGCC